GTACACGTTACATTCCCGAAGCTGAAACTGATTAAGAACGTAGCGCGACTGAGGAAAACGAGGATATACTGGAGGAACTTGATTTGTAAAATCTCGTTAATTAAAGCAGTCTTAGATATGGTTCCAAGAAGACAAGATTTAGTTTAGATTTACGTGTATGCATTATCATCGCATAATATTCTTGTTAGACTTATTCTGTATCGTATGAAAAAGCAACGCAATTTTGAGAATGCGGAAATGCTGTCTCATAGAACCTAGAATGATTTAAATGCGATATTTCTGATCGCAATGACATTGGGATGTCCGGAAAAAATTTTGGACCCCTAAAATGGTACACTGACCGAAATTTTTTTGGCGACGGGGGGGGGAGGAAAGGTCGCGCGCAAAATAAATTGTTCCGGGAAAAATTTTTTCGGACGGCCCGTCTCGCGCCTTCGGCGTTTGCTTCGCCCCCCCCCCAAAAAAAAAAAATGAAGGTCTGGCTACGCCACTGGCCGGAACGCCATGCAATAGGCGTACGGGAAGGAAAAAATTAGGGGGGCTGAAAGAAATTTGCCTGACTTTTTACAATTGTGCCCGACCAGTGCCCAAAAATTTTTTTTCCGGAACTATAAATTTTGGCAACCTTTCTTTGCCCAACAAACTGGGGTTATTATTAAGAAGAGAGATTTTATCGCTCTGACTACTTTTTCCCCGACTTTTGCCCGACTTTTGTTGAACATTTGCCCGACTTTTCGACTTTGTAATCTTGACAGATCGAATCGACATATAGTACGAATGCAGAGAGTGTATCTAAAAGTCGAGAGTATAGGTCGAGAGTCGAGAGTAAAAGTCGAGAGTCGAGAGAAAAAGTCGAGAGTCGAGAGTAAAAGTCGAGAGTCGAGAGTAAAAAGTCGAGAGTCGAGAGTAAAAAGTCGAGAGTCGATCGAGAGTAAAAAGTCGAGAGTCGACAAATGTCATCAGAAACAACAAAGTCAAAATATTTTTATTTTTTAACCACGTCGTTTAACACAATCTATATATATAGCTTTACATAGCCATTCCGTAACAAGTACCAACGGCTGAAATACAAGCTTTCCAATAAATAATGCTACAACAGTCAATAATCAGTGGCGGAAATTCACTTTTCCGGGGGGGGGGGGCAAAGCCTCCTACTGATTTCCGACAAAACTTTGAAATCTCCGACGTACCTCCCCGGTGGCTCCCCGCCCCACCAAGATTTCCGCCACTGTCAATAATAATAACGTGATAACTGTTCCCGCTTCTGGGGACTGAGAACTGGCGCGAGCCCTGAGAAACTGTGAGGGGCCCCCGGCAAAAGAATTCAGTATTCGCACATTGTTGACTTTTGGACGATTTTAGTATTTTGGACAGTTTTACCTACATTTTTTGGTTATTTTGGGGATTTGTTTCGATTGATATTATAATGTTTTGTTGATTTTGAGTTCGTGTGAGTGTGTTTGGTCGCCCCGCGACATTTGGTCCTATTCGAGCCTGGATTAAAGACTAGTATTGAGAGAGTTTCAAGTGTACTTTGCGTGAGTTTTAATGTACTAAAATCGAGTTTATTCAAGTGTAAATCTACATCGAGTTACAGTATATTGTGAAAGTTGTGTGAGTATCGCCCGAGAGACATCAAATACGTCTATTTGTGAGTACATTTTATAACAGTGTTATTATTTGAACGAATTATACGGTTTTAAGTCCTTGGAAAACAATAAACTGTGCAGTTTATGTGCATACAATCTATTGAATATATATACATCGAGTTAATTTAATACAGGGGGTCGAAGATCAAATTCTATTGTTGTTCCTATGTACTAAATGAGTAAAAGTAAGGACGGTGAGAGTATTATTACGCAGTTAGAATCCATAACAAATCAAGATCAATCATTGTGGATGGCAGAGAAACAGCCTAGTACAGATGTAAACAAAGGAGATGAAACTAATATGTCAGTTAGATCTAAGACTAAGTCAAAACAATCGGGTGTATCCAGTATTTCAACTGCCCGAAAAGCGGCAATATTATCAAAGAAATTCGAAGCTGAAAAGGCAGCTCTTCGTTTAAAGTTGTTGGAAGAGGAGAGTGTACAGTGTCAGGAAGAGGAAAATGAGCTACAAATATTGCAACAGAAACAGCGTCTGCAAGAAAAAGAACAAAAGCGTCTACAGGCGGACCTTGAGAAAGCAAAGGTCCAAGCAGAACGTCGCAAAAAATGGCGAGAATTACAACAGCAAGCTAGAGAGTCTCAACTTGAGTATGAACATGCTGTGAACGAGGAAGAATGTATGCGGGAAGAAGAGAATAGATCAATGAGACAAGGACTAGTCGAGTTACTCGGCAGCGAAACACTGGAAGATCGTGTTATGCGGCTAGGCCAGGATGAAACAAGGAATGACAATCAGGATAATTTGTTGAGTGGGCCAGAGCAACCGTTAGATAGGCAGAATACCACACACCATTCCAGGGACAAATGGGGATAATCAGGTACATAGTGTTAGAGCAAGGGACATACAGGGAACTATAAATGAGACGGTGTATAACCCTGAACGGGCTAATAGATTTAGAGCTGAGAATACTATCCCAAACCTTTCACAGCCTAAAATTCAAAAAGAGACAGCCCCAACTGAAAGCCTTTTAGAGAAAATGCTACCTACCCTTATCAAGATGGAAAGACCTAAACTACCAGTATTCGACGGCAATCCGGTTGACTATGCTAGGTTCAAAGCTTGTGTTAAAGTAGAGATTGAACGGAAAAGGGTGTATGACAATGTTGAAAAGCTCAAATTTCTTCTTGATGCTGTGACCGGGTCGGCAAAATCCTGCTTAAAGAGATTTATCCCAGGATCTGAGAGATATAAAGAGGCGTGGCAAGCCCTAGATAATCGATTTGGTCAGCCAGACGTGGTAGTAGCCGCCGCAAAGAAGAAAATTGATGAGTTTCCTGACATTCCAACTGAAAATGCTGAGAAAATCAGAGAGTATCAAGAATTGGTTTCAGAGCTTGTTGGTGTCTACAAAGAACTTGACTTTGCACATGAAC